GTTTTAAATAAATTTCACAATTTGACTTCACACAAATTAAGGAAATAAATTTGGCTTTAATGTGGAGTACACTGTTGTGACACTGTTTCACATTATTTGGCACTGTTTGGCACCGTTTTGCACTATTTTGATGTAAATAATTTGTCAAATAAGAAAGGAAGTAGAAGTGTGAAATTTATTTTGGAACTACCCAAAAAGGAAAGTGTGGAGTTTATTTAGGACCGGAGGGAGTATGTGATTTTGTGTAGAAACAATTACGTAAAGATGTGTTCCAGGTGTGCACATACTCCCTCCGTCCCGAAATAATTGTCCTCCTTTCCTTTTCGGTCCGTCCCGAAATAATTGTCTCGTTTCTTTATTTGGTAAACAAATCTATACAAAACAGTGTCAAACAGTGCAAAACAGTGCCAAACAGTGTCGCTACAGTGCCAAACAGTGTCGTTACAGTGTGAAGTCAACTCTGTTTTCTTAATCTGTGTGAAGGTCAAAACAAGACGATTATTTCGGGATAGAGGGAATATTATTTAGGCATAGAATGGATTGATGGGCGAAACATTACTATCAAAGGAGGTAAGGAGTATTAGAGCATCATCAATGCTAAAACGTTAACGGTGCATACGTGGCATAAGAGATAACCAATGAAAAAACAATAAATATAATATCTCTCTCCCTATTTGAAGGATCTTATATCATTTTGGTAAGTTTTTCTTCACAATGTCAAACACAACGTCTAGATGTAGACATTGTGGTTGACATTGCAGGGAAAAACTTACCAAAAACACATAAGACTGTGAAAAGACGGAGAGAGAAATGTCATAAAATCAGTCTTTTGTGTCTATCTCTCTCATGCCACATGTGCACCGTGCACATTGTAGGATTGGAGATGCTCTTAGTTTATCAAAAATGATGTTTGTATCCACTCTTATACCCACTTATGTTTGTGAAAAATTTTGTTGTTTGTGAACATCGATTCACAGACAATATTTTGCACAAACAAAATATTATCTGTGAATCCGGTTCATAGATATAAAAAAGTTCACAAACATGGTGACTATCAGGGCCATAAGAGTGAGGTGTTAGTTTATGGTGGTGTATGGATGCACATGCTCACTGGCTCGGTGTTTGTTGATTGATGGGGGCGGGGCAGGGAGCGTCTTCTCACTCACTTCATTCAAGAGGCTCTTTAATTTCGTTGCAATATTGACTAAAGCAAATCCCCCTGATTATAAGGGTAACCACATGTCTTCCTCACCAATTACGCAAATGACGATGCTCTAATTTGCTAATTATTCTCGCCCACACTAATCCGTACTCCTTAATTACTCATTGCTGACTGCTCACTTATTATTTTTATTGTATCACTACGATTACTTATTATGGAGTAGTTATTGTACTTATTAATCCTTTATTCTAACGGTCGAACCAGCAACTAAATACACTAAGAGGCCGTTTGGCAATCCTGTTTTTCGGCTTATCAGGCTTATCAGCCAACTTGTTGATCAAACACGTAATTTTTGCTTTCGCGCGCTGAATTGTGTAATAAGCAGAAAAAGTAAGGTTGAAGTTACTTTTTCTGGTTGTATTGGTTGAAGTTACTGTAGATAACTATTTTAGCTATTTTTACATATAATTTTTTCTTTATTTTATTAATAAATATATTTTAATATTATTTTTTTCTTAAATCAGCAGAATCAGCCAATACAACCATTTCAGCCAGAACTTCATAAATTTCAGTAAAATCAACCAAATCAGCCGATTTTCGTGCTACCAAACGGGCTCTAATTGTATTTGGTAACGGTCGACAATGCGTCCATTTTACAAATCTTTTTTTACTTTCATTTTATCAATAATTTAGAATCAACGATATAGAGCAAACCAAATTGTCAAGGTTTATCAAGTTAGAATCATTCTAATTTTACTTTCACTTTATTAATTCAAAATCAATAATATAGAATACATTTGGTAACATCAAAATTTGCTATGTCGTCTTATTCTGTTTAAGAAATTCTGTCTGAAGTGATTGAATATACTGATTTATGAAAAAAAATATTTAACATACTCCTTCTGTCCCGTTGAAAGGTTCACGTGAGTAAACAACACGATTTTGTAGGCAAGTAGTTGAATAAAATAATTTGGGTAAAATAAGAGAGAAGAGAAAATTTAGAAAGAGTAAACATAAGAAGTGAAAATAATTAAATGGAGAAAAGATGGAGGGAGAATTGTCAGACTTGACATGTACTGAGTTAGAAAGAAAAATTTGAATAAATGTGTAATTAAAGAGAGTATATTTTATTAATAAAATAAAGAAAAAATTATATGAAAATAGCTAAAATGATCATCGACATGAACTTCAACCAATACGGTCATAGAAATAACTTCAACCTTACATTTGTTATTATTACACAACTCAGCGCACAATATTAAAAGTTACATGTGTTGTGATTTTGAGCAGGCTCAGATAGATTATTTGGGACACGTAATCCATTGCGGTGGTGTTGAAGTTGATCAAACCAAGTTCACGGCTATTTGTGATTGTCCCACACCCGGGACACTAACTGCTCTACGCAGTTTCCTCATATTAGCAGGATACTGCCGCAAATTTATTAAGAATTACGAAACCATTACCATTACTCAGCTCCTCCGGAAGAACTCTTTTCAATCGAATTCTGAAGCTTAATCAACTTTTAACCATATCAAGAAGTGCCTCTCGAGTGCCCATGTTCTTCAATTACCTAACCTTGAAAAACCTTTTTGTGGTAGAATGTGACACATCTTGGAGCAGATTTGGAGCAGTTTTACAACAGGACAGACACCCTATAGCGTATTTCAGTCATAAGATTGCTGATAGACACGTTAAATTGGAAGCCTATGAGCGCAAACTTATTGGATTAGCTAAGGTTCTCACACACTGGCGATCATACCTTTAGGGTCATGGGTTCCTAGTTTTCACAGACCATTCCAGCCTTAAGCATCTTCTGGAACAATGCCTGACCATCTCTCCTCAACAACATTGGCTGAGCAAGCTTATGGGTTATAATTTTAAAGTTGAATACAAACCAGGCAAGCTCAATATTGCAGCTGATGCTTTCTCGCTGCCACGAAGACAACCCAGTCCTTGCAGACCTTTCCATTCCATTTACATTTTTATTAGACGATAGACGAAGGGCTCAAGCAAGGTCTTCTGATATCCTAGAGCTTCGCCAACAACTCGAATCCATTAACCTTGGTTCTGAATGGGAATATCGTGAAGACCTGTTTTTTCGTTATAAAGTATATCTGTTGCCCTCCTTCGACAGCATTCCTACCTTAATTTCCATATTTCATTCTATGGCGCACGAAGGAGTTGAAAAACTCTAAACCTCATGCATCGTGAGTTTACTGGAAGGAGATCAAACGTGATGTGACTGTCTACATTCAAGATTGTCAAGTATGTCAAAAAGACAAATGGCTTAATACGCAACCAACATGTTTACCGCAACCACTACAAATTCCTACTCATATTTGGACTGACATCTCCATGGACTTCATAGAAGACTTACCCAAAGTTTGTGGTAAGTCAGTAGTATTGGTGGTTGTAGATTGCCTTTCAAAAGAAGCTCACTTTGTTGCTCTCTGGTCACACATTCATTGCAGTGTTTGTTGTTGCAAAATTTTTCACAGAAATATTTCGCCTTCATGGCTTGCCAGAATCCATAATCTGATATCGTGACAACGTCTTTGTTAGTACTTTTTGGAAAGGATTGTTCCGCCTTAGTAGTACTAAATTAGCACTCTCATCTTCTTATCGTCCGCAAAGAGATGGCCAAACATAGGCGGTCAATCGCACTCTCATGTGTCCCTTGACAATGTCGTAGATTTGACTCAACAATGGTCAACATGAGCTTTTAGTACATTGGGCTGGCAAACTGGAAGCAGAAGCCACCTGAGAAAATTATGTTGCATTTCGAAAGACCTTTCTAGATTTCGAGCTTCAGGACAAGCTCATTGCTAACGGGGTACTGATGATACAAGTTGTTTCAGTCGTGCATAAATAGCTTTCCTTATTTCAGTTGTTTCCTACTTCTATTAATTAGCTTTCCAGATTTTAGTCAACTTCTTTCCTATTCTTGTTTTAGGAAACTATCTTTTGCCTATATAAGGCTTATTCCTGGAATAAATTATTAGTTTTGGAATATTTAATCTTTTGATTTTTGGTTGAAGCAGCAGTGATCACCTTCTTTGCCCGGGACATGAAGTTAGGGTTTTTATGTCAGACACCATAGCTTCACATTCCTCTCTCAATCCTCAACCGCCTTGGACTAGATCTTGTACCAAGACCCTTAACATTACATTCCTAATTATATTTCATATTGATATTGGAACATTGCTAAGTAATCAATTAGTTAATGTTCTCATATTGATTATTACTAGAATCAATCAATGACTACATAATCATTCACTTGATCCTTTTCTCTTAAGTCAAAACATTGAATTACTAATCCATGGTTAATGGTTTAGGATTTCAAATTATTCAATTGGTACTTGATTATTAAAGTTTACTGGATGTGTGAAAAATTCCTTACCACTTTCTTTCCTGGCCCTTTCTAGGATTTAAAACATTGGCTCGAGAATCAGAAATATTGAAAAATGGTTTGACAAGTTATAGATAAATACAGGTCTTGCTAGAGCGTAGAGGTATGAACTTTCCTCGAACCTCTCATTAATATTTACCTGGACTCAACGGCAAGTCGACAAAAGGAGAGAAAATGGCAACACTATTGGAGACCCCAGAAGTTCTGTTCTTGTCACTCAACTCCTGCACTTGGGAACGTTATGGGACGGACAAAGCTTTATTTATATATTTGGCAATGTGGAAAAACATTCACAAATTGGTGGGAAATTGGTGAGACTGAATGTGGAACAACATTCAGTCTCAAAACAAACGAACACTTCAAAAAAACGTTGCATTCCCATCTCTACAATTGCAAAGCCCCCCCCCCCCCCCCCCCCCCCCCCAATAAGAACATCAACAGACACCGAAACATATCAAAAGTTAGAATTACAAAAACATGATCCCTTTTATTCTTGTAAAAGAACATGGAAGGCGGAAGAAGGAAAAATAGAAGGACCAAAACTGCCGCTTTCATCAACTCTTTGAGCATGAAAAGAATGGTGTGTTATTGGCTGGTTGAGAAGTCAAACAACTCTATGAATCGCAAGTCTGAAACCCTTGCCTTTTCAGCTGCATGCCTTTGGTACTCATCAAAAATGGATGTGAGACACCACCTCTGTAATTTTCTCAAACATCCCACCACACAACCTGTACGGTGCTGCACACCGCACAAAATGGCAGCCACAATCATGTTTAATTGCATCTTATGTGTTTTCTTCTGGACTGAAATTGTAAAGTCTAGTCTTGTCTAAATTCTATGTGTATTTTACAATCATCTAAGTCTCGTTTGGTCTAATTTATTCAAGTCTTTCAATGTCCAATTTGATCTGTTAAAGTACCAAGTCTGATCTGGTATGAATAAGTATGATGCTCAAATCAATTCAAGTGGAAAACATCCTAAGATAAAACATGTCAGTTTTTTTGAACTATCGGTACTCTAAACTTATGGAAATAGAGTGTTGGCTATTTGAGTGGGAAAAACACATTTGTACCCCTTTTCGAGGAAATCATAATGAGATTACCAATATTTTCCCCATATTCTTTGATACTTCCCAAAAGTATTTTGAATTCAGAAACATCTTGACATTTCCCAAAACATCTGCAAGATTCTAGTGAAACTTCCTTACTCACCTTATCAATATTAATACCTCAATATATTGTAATTACAGAAAAATATCAGCATATATTCATCACTGATCATGAAGCTCCTTTTAAGTTTTAACATTATGCATGAGGTATAAAAACCACATTAATTAACAGCAGAATAAAGCATACCTTTCCTCTTTTGCAATGAATAAGCAGCGGATGATTCTTCTCATCTACATGGACAAACATGGAAAGATAGTCAGGAGGATACTATCTAGTAAACAACAAAATCGAATGGCCCTCAGATAATTACCAAGGACTATTTTTAGTGCTTCCCTGATCATATCTGCCGGAATGTTTACAAACGGCTCCTGAAATGGAAACATTCTTAGTTAGGTAAGGATATAAAAAATTGGAGGAATGAATTAGTTAGAGCCAACAATTACTAGCTTTAATTTGCAGTTGTTCAAAACCAGGAAGAAGTTTTATCCATAATTTCAGTATCTGTTGGAAAACCAACCACACACCCCGGGTAGGAAATAGGGTCACACATGGAAAATAACTTGTCCAGAATAACCTTATAGGCTTATATGCTACAACAACATGACAGGCTGATAACATGGTTTCAATGATATGGGAGCAAGCAAGAGAATATTTTAACGAGCAAAATAGAGAGCTATTGCATATTATATTTCAAAAACTAACCTTGCCAATGAAACAAAAGAGAAAAACAAATGTGTGTAGAACAACTAGAGTAGAGTGCCCTGCGGGAGCTGAGGAAATTTGGTCAGACCAGCTTTTATTTTGGCCATTGGATCACTTCAGCAGTTAGAATTTTGTTCATTAGTATCAAACTCACTGCCTATTACTCCCTCCGTCCCCCAATTAAGTTATCACTTTCCTTTTTGGGCAGTCCCTAAATTAAGTTCACACTTCCTTACTTTACTTATTTGGCAAATTATCTACGTCAAAACAATGTAAAACAGTGCAAAACAATGTACAAACAGTGCAAAACAGTGTCAAAACAGTATCAAAACAGTAAAATTTACCCCATTAATTTTTTTTCCTTAATATGTGTGAAGTCAAACCCGTAACTTAATTGGGGGCTGGAGGAAGTATTTTGTAAACCTTCAACCTATTTGAATATAGAAGCTAGACACTCACCTAATCAGGGTTTCCATTTATTAAAAAGGATCTAGATGTTAAGCTATATACACCATTAGCATCTTTGGCGAATGGTGATATTGAATAGTTGAAATTTAACTACCACCCGATCAGAGACTGGAATTCAACTTTCAGACTGAAGCAATTAAGGTAAGGTGCAATACTAATTAAGAGCAGGACAGTCATTGTAGCCTTCTATGCTAACTTGAGTACTTAATTAGTTGATTAGATTGATTCAAATGATATTTATTAAACATCAAATTAACTTGAGTACAAAATTAGTTGAGCAGAGTCAAACTAAATACGCAGCAGAAACAAGATCCAACCTTTGATCCTTCCATGCCGAACTGAAAAAGTTGAATTCGATTCGAACTGAGAAACTCCACGTTCTGCTCAGGATATGGCTCAAGGCACAAACATCTAAGCAACAGAGAAACAACTTATTAACGATTAGAGCAACCGGAACCAGAGTTGGAAAGCAACAACAAAACCAACAAGCGACTTACATGATTGAACGGAGGCCTAGGGTTTGCAGAAACGGGAAGTTAGAACATTCAGGGAAGCCAGAACGGAAAACGCCATAATCAACCATAGCGAAATTCAACGGTGGCACAAAGAGGCCATCGTCGGCAGCTCTAACCTCAACTGCGGGCGGTGTTTCCCCGGAAGCATCCGGGTCGGAGGCGGCGACCGCATGGCACATGGACGGGTCATAATTCTCCACTCTCATTGCGTTTGCGCCAGACAATTTGCCATTGACTGGTTGCTTCGTATGTAGTACGAGTAATATGCATCGGGATAGAATGGAATAGAGACTGTACGAATATTTATATACAAAAGTGCTGTATTCTTATCTTTATACTCTGTACTTTATTAAGTTATTTGACACTACTATATTTGAGTTGGCATTAGTCTAGTCAAGTTTCGTCTATGTTTGTCTGATTTGAGATCGAAAACAGTCCAAAGAAAAATATCCGAAATACTAGCTTCGTCCCTTAAAACTTTGATAAAGTTGACCGGCACGGAGAATAATAAAGTAAAAATTGTGTGATTCAGGTTTATGCAAAGGAGAGAGAAATAACAGAAACCACAAAATAATTGATTAAAAAGGAAAGTGACAAAGTTTTTTGAGACGTCTAAAAAGGAAAAATGACAAAGTTTTAAGGGACGGAGGAAGTAATGATTTTGTAATAACTAAAGTTAATTTTAACACAGGTACTTAGGATGTTTTCTTTTAGATTGGAATTTGCTGTTCTGGTCTAGTGAAATCTGGTCTGCTCTGATCTAAACTAGCCTGCTCTAGTAAATGCCTTGTTTGTGTGTATTTTACAACTATGAAAGTTTGGTCTAGTATGTTTAAGCCAATCTGGTCTGATCTGATTAAGTTTGGTCTGATTTGATTTATTTTGGGACTGAAAATGATAAATAAGGTTGAATTTGTTGAAAGTAATGGTATTTTAGGTGAAGTGTCTGAATTGTTGAATTATGATGTTTTGAGTGGAACGGTTAAATTTGCTAAATTAGTTTAAACAAATAAAGATAAAACAATATGAAAAAGGGAAAATCGCATATATGGTCCCTCAGTTATCCACAAAATTAAAATCTCAGATCTGTATTTCTGAGATTTTAAATGTCACCACTCAATTGTACAAAATCATGTAAATGTGATCCTTTTGAGGGGTGAAATATACAATGTGGGCGAGAGTATATTCAACCACTTAAAGGACCACATTTACACCATTTTGGAGAATTGAGGGGTGACATTTACGATAAATGCACGTCACTTCACATTTTTTAGCCTTTAAGGCTTTTTATTCTGTTTAATTACAAAATTACTAATTTATACTAGTCGTTGGCTGCATGTTCCTAGGGTTGTAAACGAATCAAATAATTTATGCTCGATTCGCGATTCGAATTCGTATAAGGCTATTCGAATTCGAAAAATTCAAATATAAATACAAATAAGAATACTAAATTTGATTCGAATTGTTATCAAATACAAATAAGAATATCAATGTATTCGATTCGGATGTTAATCAAATATATTCGATAAATAATAGTGATAGTATTAATAATAATACTATTAATAATAATAATGATAGTGATAACATTATAATAATTATCAAAAGATAGCTATATCCGCAAAATGTAGCCTATACATACATTTACATATACAAAAAATTCAAGCCTATTTGTAATAAATCAGAAGTATCATACGCAGCAAGGATTGTAAATGACGAAAATATTTTTAATTCGATTCGTGATTTTGATTCAAAAATTATGATTTAAATTTGAAAATATATAATATAAATACAAATTAACCTTTTGGTTTGAATATGGTACGTCCAAAAAAGAAAAATGGGAACCTTTCTATGAGACAGAGGGAGTATTATTCAAGCAATCCTATGTTTGAATGACTTTTTGTGCAAGCTCAAAGTTATCGGTGGATCGGGGTTTAGCCATATATTGGATTTTAATATAGCCATATTAGGAATACATCTATGGAGGCTGTTAATATAATCAAAACCTTTGGTCTGGACTCGATAGGGTATTTAGAGCTAGACTAGTACTATCCTAAGTGTGCATATTTGACATTTAAGGTGGCTTCTAGTTAAGTAAAATCTCTTGAGAAGGTTATCTACTGTCTGATCCTACATACTCTTAATAGAGTATAGAGATGGTTATCGGCATACCTTTGAGTGTGAGGGAGATCCGAGATCCCTTGATTTGGAGATGGGAGCAAAGAGCCCATTACTCACTCGGTTAATAGTTGCTACAAGAGGCTAGTTGGGGAGGTAGTTGCAGTTAAGATCTTTTATTGGCAAATAAGCAACGATTTGCTTTCGATATCCGAGGCTTTGAGGTGAAGGAGAGTAGAAGTTCAAGAGACATGATAACTATTTTGAGGTTACAAAGAGTGGGAGAAGCCCTCTTGCATCTCTTTGTGCAATGCATTATAGCTATAAGAGGGTGGAACTCCCTTGGTTGGTGTGCTTTTGGACAATCAGCTTGTTGGTTTTAAGAATGGATGATGTAGGCTCATCAGCTCAAGCGTCACAGATGGGTGTGGCAAAATGCTCGAAAGAGTGGAGGGCAGATCTGTGCGGCACTTATGGGAGATGAGGTAAAGGGCAATGTGCACCTCCTCTTTGATAACATGTGCATAGTGAAAGGTCGTAAGTAAAAATGTTGATACCATTTGCTTGTTATTTATTTTTTCATGATCAGACTGTTTATTTTTCTATTGGTTACTTTTATTGTTGTAAAACTCTTGCATTAGTATTGGGTGATGAGAGGTCTGCTTTAACCGTCGTTGCCTCATTTATGCTCATTATAGATTTATAGGATCAGCGAGTCATATTGATTTTTTTGAAGATGATTGATTCTAAGTCTGATTCGAGGACTGACGATTTCTTGTGATCCTTTTGTCATTTTACCCCCTATATGAATGTTGTGATATCAATTTAAGTCCCTTCTTCCAAAAAAAAGTACTATTGAGTGTGCACAAAGCTCTTATAGTTGATTAAAGAGCTAGCATTATAGCACATGGATGCGTAGTGAGATACTTTTAAAACAGTTAATGAGATTCAAAATGGTGATAGTTGTGACTTGTGTCTTTTACTAATTTATGTATTATCACATCTATCTTTTCTTTTTTTACGTTGAGAAATGGAAATGGAAAATCGTAAATTTCCCGCTCAAAAACATCACAATCAAAAGCAAAAATTTATATTATGTTTAAGATCAATTCAATGAGTGGAAAACATTGCTACCCACTTATTTCCAATGCCCATTTCACATGACAATAAGTTGTCGGACCCTCAACTAAAAAAAACCTTCATTTTAAAAAAAATTATAACTTTTTCATTTGATTTTTATTTTTTATGAAAAATATATCAAAATTCATAACTTTTTATGATTTTTCATATAACACCCATATCACATACATAAAGTTTAAAAAACATAAAACTATTGGAGTTTTTGGACCCAATTTTTTTCCTTAAGTACATCAAAGTACTAAAATTAAGATCACATGGTTGTTTTTCCACTTATTCACTCAGCACAATTTTTTGTAAATTTCATCCTTACGATTATTATTATAATCAATTTTATTCAAATATTTTTTACAAAAATTATGATTTAAAAAGTCATACATTCTCAACGTAAATTAAATAAATATGGAGTTTAGTTTTGTATTATTATTACTCCAGACCTATTTCAGAAAAATAATTGAAAGATATAAAAACATTAACCGTGAGATCTTAATTTTAACATTTCAATTTCAATTTTATCACATGAATCTACTTTAAAAATTTGTGAGTCCAAAAAGTTTCTGATTTTTTTAAAACTTTATAGGTATAACATAGGTGTCATATGAAAAAATTTAGGAAGAAAATTTGATGGTCAAGAAATTGTCATACCGAGATTGACACTAACACCTTCAGATGCAAGAATACTACTCAAGTTTCAAAGAAGGCAGTTTGCAATCATGACCTCTTATGCGATGACTATAAACAAAACTCAAGGTCAATCTTTGTCGCATATTTGACTTTTACTAACATAAACAATCTACACTCATGGTTAACTTTACGTTACAATGTCAAGAGTTACCCATTGAAGAAGGTTGAAAATATTGATGTGATAACATCATGAGAATGGTCAACCGATCGATCATACTACTAAAGTACTAATGTTGTTTACAAAGAAATCTTTCATAATTTATAGTTTCACTTTGAACACTTATTATTTAGTAACCACTTCATACTATCAAATGTTATGTCTTTTATATTATTTACATTTTTTCTTCTTCGATGATGTTTTAATCGCTCTTTAACTATGAACACTATTTATATTACTTATCACTTTATTCTAAATTCAATTATTTATGCATTTTTATAATACAATTCTCCATCACATTGATAAATTTTCATTCGTACATCGCACAGGTGACAATCTAATTAGAATATATGTAGTGTGTGAAATCTCACCTATAGACATGGTTTCACGATGGTCATTGTACTACTATCCTACTAATACAGATAAATAAATAAATAAAACTTTTAAACAAATTTGACTTTCTTACTTATTTCAGTTTATTTCCTCACAAGATTACAATTTTAGCATACCAACTACATATAAATAAACTCACGTGAAATACAAATGCATCTTGTTTTTTAAGCAACAAACCATGCACTCAAATTCGCAAACCATACAAAACATATTAATGATTCATACTCCGTATGATTCATCTATATCATTGGCATTCTGAAATGTTTAACAATGGTTGAAACTTGTATCAATGATCAATCTAATGAATATTTCTTTTGCATTCATTTGAGAGAGAAAAACAGTTTATAATTATGTTCTAGTTTAGCCAATATAATTCATAAATTAGTATATGGTATAAAACCTGACCAAAATATAAATCAAATAATAGATCAACAAATGGGCACTAACAAACTACATATCCTACATAAACCAAGGCAATTGCTCATTATATACTGTGTTTAATTCATTATAATCCATTTAAATGTTTTAATTGGTCATTCTAAGCAGCAAGTGAAAGAACTTTTATAGTCCCCAGACTGTTTGCACTTAGGATAGCGGAGCTGTCACTTTTCCAGCAAACGGCACTAATGAAGCACGCTCCCCTTTCTCCATCAGACTCATTCCTATCCGAACCAAAACTGTACCAAGCCGCAGGTTTAGATATTGCCTACACACATTCCAAATAAAGAACTTAACTATCCACCTGATCAAGCTCATTGCAGAACCTCTAGAGAGAGATACAAAGATAGATATACAGAAAGAGAGG